CGGCGCGAGCGAGCACGGCCCACCAGCCAAGGAAGGCGGTCCAGGATTTGAACATGAGAATGAACATCCCACTCGCCTAGCCAATCCGTCTGCTCTTGAAGCTGCCAGCAGAAGGACTCCCAGGATTCATCTGGACCGAGAAGAACATCATCCGCACCTCGCAAGGCTGCTGGGATCTGCAGCTCTGTTGGAGATAAGGTCCGCATGCACGTTGCGAGTCGTGTGGACCCTGAGCCCTGTTGCTACAAGGCTGGCTCGATGCGGACTTGCAGCGGGGCCGGGGGTCGATCGCGGGCCCGGCAGGTACCAGGGGCAGTCAGCACAACCCAACCTGCCAAAAGCAGGCGCATGATTATATTGAACATCCACGCAGACGCATCTGCTACCCAGGACGACCCTGCCGGGGCGAGCTGCTGCGCCCAGGCCACGGAGGCGTCACCACCATTGCACAATTTGACCAAGGCAGACTCCAGAGGTCGGCCGTGGATTGCGGACGCCCTGCATCCACGAGGCCCCTTCGAGCCACCACGGCGGCATGCGCATCATGCCTGGCGCCTGGGCCGCAGCTCCAGGGAGAGCTCCACTTCTAAAAGGAACTGGTCCCCGAGTGTGTAGTCTAGACAGTCACCCCAACGACAAAGATCTCCATGCTACCCGTGCTGGCGGCAGGAGACTCCGTTGTGCACCAGGGCTGTCCCCTGGGCGGCTGGCGACGCCAACGCGATGTCGATGCAACGGAATTGCCCTTGACAGTGGTGGGTATCTCCTGGGCGTACCCTGACCGACCGGCCACGCCTAGGGAGGAGGAAGACCTTCTCTGGCTCCTGGGACCCAGCAGAGGGATTCAGACGGAAAAAGGACCAATCCTGGACGAAGGAAGACCACTCTCTTGCCCTGGCTGGGCAAGGGTCCCTTGCCTCTTGGACTTTTTGCGGCTGAAGATTGATGGCGCCCATTACCACGACTGGTATTCCTGCTAAGCTGGAGGGTTCCCCGACGAGGGTGCGAAGATCTTCCTCGAGACCTCCGAGCTCTTTGTGCCATGCTGTGTCGCTTCCACGCTTCGGAGGCGGCGGAAAATAGACGGTGCAGACAAAGCACGGCGGTCCCACGCACACCGATATAGACACCCGCATGTCTCAGGCGTTCAACGCTTGGAAACCGGCTTGTGTCCCATGTTACAGCCGTGCTCGCACAGAAAGGCCTCCCCCCCTCCGCGGCAATCCTCACACCACAGGGACTCCAGCGAGGCTGAAGCCCTCCGGCAATCTGGCGCCTGGCAGTGCGATGAGCCCCAGGTCTAAGCTGCGCATCGCCCGAAAAGGACGCCTACTCGGCTGTCCGTGGATACACTGCGGCGCACCTTCCTGCCGTCTATACGGGCATGCAACCCCATGTGCTCGGAGAGCCCAGCTCCATCCGGAAACGGGGTCCCTGGCCGACGCCCAAAGGACCCACAGCCGTCATGCGCTCCCGCCGTGCGCTCGCCCAGAGACCCACAGAGTCCGGTCATCGTGGGACATCCCCAAGATCGAAAGATCGAGCAGGGGCCCAACACCGTCTGGGGCTCGGGGAACTCCCTTGGATCCGAGTAGGCGCGAGGATTCCGCTTTCAGCTCGCCCGACCGGTGAGCCAGCAGGATGTCCGCGGTATGGTCGCCGCACGGACCCAAGCCCCTGGAGTGCGGCACTCGCGCCCAGAGCCCATCGAGGGCTGCAAACATGGAGTGAAGGGCGAGGGGCTACGCAAGCTCGGGTGGAGCCCGATGGCTACGGAGAGCTGCTGTCCATCCCAACCCAGGCCCAGCCTGCCCAGCGAGGACCAGGAGGGAGGGAGGGAGGAAGGGAGGAAACTCGCGAGGTGGCAATTGGCGCATTTAAGGTCGTAAAGGCCAGAGCGGCGATAAGAAGTTACCTCGTCACGGGGGGGTGCATCAGAGCAAAGAGACAGGCCCCGCCCAGGGCGCCACCTGGGCCCCAGGCCCAAGGGGGAGCCCTCGCAAGAGAATTGGGCCGATCCCTGACCTGAGGTACCCTGGCAGCGAGGATGGCACCCAGACGCCTCGGTCCAGCCCAGCCCAGCCCAGCCCATCCCAGACCCAGAGGGACCTGGAGGGAGGGAGGAAGGGAGGGAGAGAGGAGAGGAAGGGAAGAAGGGGAGAGAGAGAGAGGGGGGGAGGGGCTGTGCCTCGGCGCCGTCATTGTTCCTCGCCCTCACCGCGACTCATAGAAATCCAGCGGGCGAGGGCCAGGGGCAGGCTGAAGGCAGCAGGGACGGGGAGCAAGAAACGGAGCCAAGACAGATAGAGCCCAGTCCCAGCAACCCCGTCCGACGCCCAGGCTTCCGACCCAGCCAGCTCTCGAGACCCCCCATCCCGAGCGGAAGAGGGAGTCGAGAGCGGAAGGACAGAAGAGGGGAGGGGGGGGGAATGGATCCAGCCCCGATCCGTCCAGACCAACCCAGCTCAGCCCGACCCGTCCGGACCAGCCTAGCCCAGCCCTTCCAGCTCGGTGAGAGCTGAGCGGGAGGGAGGGAGGAGGCGGATGGGCCCCAAGAAGAGCTCCCAGAAGAGGGCTCCCAGAAGAAGCCAAGAGCGCATGTCGTCTGCATGTCGTCACCGCCGCGGGCCCCATGATGACGACATGCGCACGACATGCGCGCAAGGGGCCCTCTTGGGGCGCTCTAGGGGCTCCTTTGGAGCAAGGGGAGGGGGCGGAGGAGGGGCAGGAGGGGGCGGAGGAGGAAGATGAGGAGGATGAGGAGGAAGAGAGGAGGAGGCGGAGGGCAGAAGGCAGCAGGGATGGGGAGCTAGAAGCGGGGAGGAGGAGCAGAGGTGGGGAGGAAGAGGAAAACCGAGAAGCAGGAGGAGGAGGAGGAGAAGGAGGAGAGAGGAGAAGAACAGTGATCAAGGAGGAGAAGGATGAGGCCGAGATCGAAGTAAGACGTGTGGACTGGAAGCGAAACGCGTCGTCTGAGGTCTGGGTCCCGAGAGGGCGGCGGGCGCCAGGCCGCTGGCCCGGCGCCTCCAAGTACGCTACGCGGGTGCGGGGCCTCCGCCAATGAACGGAAATGGAAACCGGGGCTGGACGGTGCGGCCCCGTCCTCGAGCCAGACGGCGAGGCGGGTGCGCTCCCTCGCCGGAGCCTCCCGTTTCCCCTGTCACTGTCATCCCATCACTCCCTCTCTCCATACCGATCCCCTCTCGTCGTTCCCTTCCTCCCTTCGCCTCCCTCCTTCCCTCTTCCCTAAGAAGAGCCCAGGGGCACCCGAGTTGCTCCAGGGTTGTCGTGTAGGCAAGCTTGAGCGTCTTGGAGGCCTCTTGGGCCGTCTTGGATCTTGGGCGATCTTGGGGCGATCTTTGGGGGCTCTTGGGTCGTCTCGGGCCGTCGGAATGCCGAGAAGAAGCAAATGGCAAAATTCTTCGAACACCTGGGGCGGGAATCAATAATGTTGGCCTATTCGGGCCGCCCTGGAGGCCCACTTGGAAGGCCTCTTGGGCCGTCTTGGAGACCTCTTGGGGGCCTCTTGTGCCGTCTTGGGCCACCTTGGAGCCATCTTGGGCCGTCTTGGTGGCCTCCTGGCCCGTCAGACGCCGTCGGAAGCCATCTTGGGGGCCTCTCTGGGCCAACTTGGGCCCCTCTTGGAGTGCTTCAGGATAGTCTTGGAGGCCATCTTGAGCGTCTTGGAGGCCTCTTGGGCAGTCTTTGGGCCCTCTTGGAACCGACTTGGGGGACTCTTGGGCCGTTCTGGGGCCATCTTGGAGGCCTCTTGGGAGATCTTGGGGCGATCTTTGGGGGCTCTTGGGCCGTCTCTGGCCGTCGGAATTTCCGAGAAGAAGCAAATGGCAAAATCCTTCGAAAATCTGAGGGGGGGAATCAATCATGTTTTGCCTGTTCGGGCCGTCCTGGAGGCCCATTTGGAGGCCTCTTGGGCCGTCTTGGAGAACTCTTGGGGGCCTCTTGTGCCGTCTTGGGCCATCTTGGAGCCATCTTGGGCCGTCTTGTTGGCCTCCTGGCCCGTCAGACGCCGTCGGAAGCCGTCTTGGGGGCCTCTCTGGGCCAACTTGGGCCCCTCTTGGAGTGCTTCAGGGTTGTCTTGAAGGCCATCTTGAGCGTCTTGGAGGCCTCTTTGGCAGTCTTTGGGCCCTCGTGGGGCCGACTTGGGGGCCTCTTGGGCCGTTTTGAGGCCATCTTGGAGGCCTCTTGGGCGATCTTGGGGCGATCTTTGAAGGCTCTTGGGCCGTCTCTGGCCGTCGGAAGGCCGAAAGGAAGCAAATGCCAAAATCTCTCAAACACCTGAATGTGAATCAATGATTTTGGCCGTTTCGGGCCCCCCTGGAGGACCTCTGGAAGCTTTGTAAGCCGTGTGGGAAGCCTCTAGGGGACGTCTTGGGCCGTCTTGGACCATCTTGAATCGTCTGGTTGATTTCTTGGGCGACATTGGAGGCATCTCGGACTCGCTTGGACCGTATTGGAGGCCATCTTGGGCCATCTTGGAGCCATCTGGACCAGGACCATGTGTGCAACATGCCTTCCAGTTGGCCGGCGGCACGCGCCGAAGCCCCAGGAGGAGAGTTCTTTTAAAAAGCACCAACACCAACACCCCCAGGCATCAGCACGCCAGGCACCCCCTGGCACCCCCTGTGCTTTTTTCGGTTTCGTGCGTGGCTTTTTCGCCAAATGATCAAGGATGCTCCTCGATCGCCCTCGCCGAGAAAAAATGCACACGTCCGAGCGATGCCAGGCCCCCCTGTGACGGGCACAGGGGGGCGGCGGATCACATTTCTTCATCTCCGCCCGCGGGCGCCGAGGACGATGGGTCGCATCGGCCAAACTCGTGCGCCTTTCGAGCGACGCATGCGCTGCCTGGCGACCTGTGGCGGGGGCGTGGTGGGGCGTGGAGGCGGGGCCACCAGGCTCCGATCCGATCCAGCTCCTGCGCAGGGCGCTCGAGGAGGGGGGGATGTGGCTGGGGGGGGGGGGGGCGCGGCGCCCCGCGCCTGCTTCTGCGGGAGCGCCGGCGCGCCTCGGCCCTCGGGCACGTCGTCCTGCCGCAGTGGACGGCCGGCGGGGGATGACGAGGGGAGCAGGATACACGATTGGTCCTCCTCCTCCTCCTCCTTCTCCTCCTCCTCCTCCTCCTCCTCAACCACTCTACTTGTCTACCTCAACCTTCCGTAGCATCTGTGCATGTGCAGCACGTGCTGAAACTTCGAGAGGCGTGTGAGGCGAATTGGAACGACTGCAGGTATTGTAGATCATATAGGATGCGATGACGATGGGCTGCCCCGCCAAGTCTCGTTTCCCATCGCTCAGAGCACGTGCCAGCCCGAAACGCTTGGTCACGTGGAGTGGGACGTGGCAGGAGGGGCACCTGACCTCCTGTAGGACACTTCACATTTGGGGGCAACTCGTGAAGTGCTTCCGGCCGAAGGGTCAGAGCAGCCGAATGTACACAGGCAGGTCTGCTGAGACATCTTCCGCTCCGTCGTCCCCCCACCCCCCGCACAATGCCTTCAGCACAGACATCTGCCAGATATGGGGCGCAGAGAGCATTGGGCGCCCGAGTTATCCGGGGTAACTCGGGTCCGGGGTAACTCGGGTTTGGATTCCCGAAAAAGGAACTCGAGTTAGCCCTGACCCGAGTTACCCCTGATGATTCGGGGCTCTGGACGCCCGAGTTATCCGGGGTAACTCGGGTCCGGGGTAACTCGGGTTTGGGTTCCCGAAAAACGAACCCGAGTTATCCCTGACCCGAGTTACCCCTGATGATTCGGGGCTCTGGACGCCCGAGTTATCCGGGGTAACTCGGGTCCGGGGTAACTCGGGTTGGGATTCCCGAAAAACTAACCCGAGTTAACCCTGACCCGAGTTACCCCTGATGATTCGGGGCTCTGAGAGCAGGCGGACCTCGAGGAGCGGCCAGCTGATCCCACGCACAACCTGAAGGGACGGCGGCCGAGTCGCCCGGCAGGACAGGCGCTCGAGGAGAGCGGCCGCCAGGAGTGGGAGGGGAGAGCGAGAGGCACCCCGCTCCGTCCCCGCTCCCCCCGAGCCTCTCCTCCTCCTCCTCCTCCTCCTCCTCCTCCTCCTCCTCCTCCTCCTCCTCCTCCTCCTTCCCTTTCCCAATTCCTCCCCCCCCTTCGTCCGACCCGAGAGGCTCGATCGGCGCGTGTACCGCAGCGCCAGCAAGCATCCTGGGGTCCCCCCCCCCCCAACCCCAAGCGAAGCACATCCTGCCGCCGTTGGCACGGACATGCCACGGGGCGCACCAGCGCGCTGCCATGTTCGCCACCCCTGAGCGCCACCCCCATGGGCACTCCTACCGATCCAGACTCGGATCGGTGCAGGAGGGCGGCGCCTTCTTGCGCCGCCCCACGGGAGGAGCGGTGCTGTCCTCGGTGGTTCAAAGGTGGGGTCCCAACGGACGGGGCCCTGAGGACGAGGTGCCTCGAACGGGGTCCATTCACCCTCGGACCCCTCCCTATCATCAGGGCCCCATCTCTCAGGACCCCATCTTTGAACCACCGATTTCCTCCCGCCGCCCCCCTGCGGCTGGGAAGGGCGCGTAAGGCCCCACGGGGGGGGGGGGGCCGTGTCGACGCCCACCTGCGAAGCTGGCTCGTAGGAGGAAGGCGGGGTGTCCGCCCGCGGCGCGCCACGGATGCCACTCCGGGGCTCGTACTTCGGGGTGCTCGAGCACTGGTCATGGCGGGGGCTGGCCATCGCTCGGACGTCCATTCCCTCTGCTTCTGTTCGGTTTCGTGTGCAGTTTCTCGCCAAAGTATCCAGGATGCTCCTCGATGGCCCTCGCCGAAGGAAACAATGCACACGTCCGAGCGACGGCGCAAGTCAATCACTGATCATGGCGGGGGGCGTAGGGGGTGGGATCGATCGCGTGCGGGGGAGGCCGGCGCTTGTTGGACTCTGTGGGGTAGTCTGTGGCGGCGGTGCTCCTCTTTTGGGTGGCGGGCCATCGGATCTGGAGACCTGACCCTGCAGGCCGGTACGGGGAGGCCTCGGCCCTTAAACTGTGGAAGCCCTGCCTTGCAGTGCGACCATCGTGCACGAGAAAGGGTGGTGAGAGGAGGACAGGAATTTCGGGGGAGAAGGGCTCAGAGGAAGGGAAGGACACATAACGGAGAAGGAGCAAAGGAAGGAAGGAGAAGAGATTGAGGACGGGCAGTCGAGAGAGCGAGCGAACGAGGGATGTATAGGCAGGGGATAGGGCGGCAGGGAGTGAGTGGAGGGACGGTGGGCCAGAGGCAGGGAGCGGGGAGAGGCGGGGAGGGAGGGGCGGACGCGAACAGATACATACGAGCTGGAGGGAGTTGAAACTTCGGTGACCAAGATGAGGTCAAGGTGTGTTGTAAATCACGCACTTCTTGGAACGTGTATTCTGTCCACTGTGGAGCCCAATCCTGCCACACTTGTGGGTGCTAGTCGTATGGACTCGTTCGAAATTTGGGCAAGGCGGGCCAACATGATTCCCAAAGGCTTCCCTTATCATGCAGGATGGTAGGGATTCGGTCCGGGGTAGCCTCCAGTACGCACCTCAGAGGCCCCAAAACAAGTTCAAGACGGAGCCATGTGGTCCAGAGACTTGTTGAGCAATGCCCCCCAAGAGGCCCTCCACCAGAGTTTGTTCCAGTGTGCTTGGCGTCCCAGGCTCTCCTGCAGAAGGTGGCTTTCGGGAGCGCGAAGGCGGGCCCCAAGCCGGCCCAAACAACACCCCAAGAAGTGCCAAGAAGGGGCCCCAGGAGGGCCCCGAGATAGTCCAAGACGGCCATGCAGTCTTACCGTCTTACCAAAGGGGCCTTTCCACCCACACCCTTTCACTGTTTGGTAATTGCGAAATGGGCTTCTCAGCGACGAGTGAGGACACACATTGTGGCACCCCCAAGAAAACGTACCCCCTCATCGCAAAGCCCTTTCTCAAGGGCGCCGCCGGGGGCGGTCTACGCCCGCCTGCTGATCGCAGCTCAAAGGCCTCTCCAGCTCGGCGGCGCGTTGCAACTGATCGGTGAGGCATCGTGCACAGATGTCGCCGCGCAAAGATGTTGTGCCTTATAGAGCACATGTCAGCTGGGTCGCTGGGACGCAGTATGATTATGTCACCGGCTCGAGGACGAGCGACACACCCCTCGACGTCATGCGGCTGGGGAGTGGGCCAAGTCCAGGCAGCCTGGCAAGAACACTCGTATCTCACGTCCGCCCTCGCGGGGACACGGCTGAGGCGAGAGTTCCAGCATAACCCAAAGCAAGCCGTGGAAGCCACATCTTCCTGGCCGCCTGCTTCAGAGACTGGCTGGAGAGCGCAACATCGGGTAGGGGGCATGCGGGCTGGGGGCCTATTGACATGGACCCCGCCAAGAATGTCCCGCCCACCCCCCACGCAATCTCTGCATTGCACATGCAGACGGTATTCTATATTTGAGGTGCTACCCACTTGCCCACTTGGCCCACTTGCCCCGCTTGCCACACTTGCCCCAATTGGGTGAGTGGGGCAAGTGAGCGATCTGTTGAGGGTGTGGGCAGAGCAGGGCAAGTGGAGCAAGTGGGGCAAGTGGGGCGGGCGGGATTCAAGATCAATCCCTCTCCGCGAACAAGTGGTCAAGCTCCAGGGCTGCCAATTGCAAAAACGTTCTTTCTTGTAGGCGGCGGTCGCCCAAACGATCGGCGATCGCCTTCGCCCAGTGATGCTGCCGCCCGTCCTTCATACTCCTCGCCCTCCTCCTCCTCCTCCTCGTCGTCGTCGTCCTTCTCCTCCTCCTCCTTCCTCCTCGGCCTCGTGCTCGTCCTCGTGCTCGTCCTCGTCGTCATCGTCCTCCTCCTCCTCCTCCTTATCATCATCATCATCCTGTGGCGTAAGCCAATAAACCAACGAACCACATGGGCAACCTTGTTTGGAGAGTTTGCGCGATCAGCCGCCACACCACTGTTCTGGATAACGTCGACGCACAAATCTGGGCGTGTGACCCGGATCTGAGATTTCACCAACATGCCGCCGGGCACATGGCGGCTGCTCGTGATCCGCCCCTCAAGTCTACATGCCGACGCCTCAAACTCCTCCGGGTCGCTCAACGCCGCCTCGAAGATACATACGGCTGCGGTCACGCAGTCTTCATCTTCTGTCCCTCTCGCGCGAACGTGCGCATCTGCGCCGCCGTGACACACAACGCGGCGACGCAACCGACGAGGACTGGAACAGCAATGAATGGGCGCATGGCGGCTTGCATCACCGTGATGACCGCGAGCGATGCGGGCACGGCAATGCCGAGGGCAATCAGGGACACGGCGCAGCCCACTGCGCCCCGAATGACGTCCCCAGCGAAATCGAGCATCGGACCTGCAATGGGGACCGATCTGAACCAAGAGAGCGTGCCGTCCAGCGCCTGCGCCAGCGCCTCGACGGGATAGAGGGACAGCCGCACCCCGAAAACGGCGAACAGGACCCCCAGGACTCTGATCAGCCACGTCATCACCGCGTTGGTGCCCTCGCGGGGCGGCCAGAACCAGGAGGGTCAGGGAGGCCTCCCCCTCCCCGAGCCGCCCCCCCCTTGGGGTGGAGGGAGGGGGTGGGGGCGGGGGGGGGACGACGAAGGGGGGAGACTGGCAGGGCGAGGCGCAGGGCACGGTCGCAGTCAGTGTGATGTGAGCGCGTGGGCGACGTCGGAAACGAGCGCCCGACGCGCCTCGCACGCCCTGCGGCACGCGCTCGCCAGGCCAGGAAGGCCCGTGTGCTCCCCGGGGTATCCCGCCTCGCGGCTTCGACGAGTGACGCCTGCATGCCGCGGCCGCCATGCCCCAGGGGGCAAGACGAGGCGAGGACGAGGATAACATCGGGCGACGATGAATCCAGAATCTCTGAGATCTGGCGGCTCTGGAGGACGTATCGGGCGCCGCGGCCTTGTCGTGGCGTTCCAGAACGCTCTGAGAGCGTTCCAGGACGCTCTGGAACGGATTGTATCCTCGGCCTGGCCCCGTCTGAGAGGGGCCCAGTGCGCCATGGGGATCCCGCATCGCGTCCGCAGGTGTGGATCGCTCGCAGCAAACGAAGACTGGTGCTGGTGCCCCTGATCCTGCGCGGCGCGAACCAGCTCTGCTGCGCCGCTGGAGCCCTCTCGGAAGAGGTCCACGCTGCTGCTCTGGCCCCGGGGGGAGCACATCCAAGAGCCCGGCGCCGCCCACGGCCGCGTGCCCCCGTCCGCCCCGGCCTCCGCCAGGTGGGAGACGCGCGCGGCGGAGGACCGCCTGTAGGTGACCCTGGCGCAGCCGACGCCCAACCAGCGGGAGCGGGGGTCCGGTGGCCGCTTCCCCTCGGCGGCCACGCACCCCGGGGGGCAGGGCATGAGGAGGCCGGCCTGCGCCAACGCAGGCGGGCTTCTCGGCAGCCCTGCCCCAGACATGCGACGTCCTGATTTTTTCAGGACGGCGTCCCCGCAAGTCCCGACCCTTTCCCCGGGACCGGTTTTTCGTCCTGAGTCGTTTTTTGACGGTCCCGAGGCCCGGCGAGGACCTCTAGAGGGCGAAAATACCCCAAAACCGCCCGTCCTGATTTTTTTACGACGCCATCGTGTCTGGGGCCGCCTCGTCGGGGGGAGCCCCGGCGAGCCTCCTCGGAGGCCGCATCCATGGGCGGCTTCTCGGCAGGCACGGGGGGCTCCCGAGCAGCCCCGCCGCCTGCTGGGGAGGCCGGCCCCCTCTCTGCCTTCCCCCCCGGGTGGGCCGCTGGGCCCCCATTGGCGTTCCGAGCGGCCCCTGGGACAAGTCCGGGCGTGGGGCGAAGTCTTCACGGTCTGCCCTCGGGGAGAGGAAGGCGCCTCCCCAGACCCCCTCGAGTAATGAAAAAATCATGACGGGAGGTTCTTCCTAGTTTTCGGCCTCTGGGGGCCCTCACCGGGCCTCGGGAGCGTCAAAAAACGACTCAGGATGCCAAGCCGGTCATGGGGAAAGGGTCGGGACCTCTGGGGGTCGACGTAATGAAAAAATCATGACGTCGGGGGTCTGGGGAGAGGAAGGCGTCTCTCCAAGCCCATCCTCAGTGCCACCAGGGCGGGCCTGGGGCACCCGATCCCGCTGGTTCCTGTCCGGCTCCTCCGGCCGGCATCCGCAGTAGATGGCCGAGCGCGCCACGGTGGCGGTCTCTCCTCCGAGCTGGAATCGCCACCCGTGCCAAGAGCTCAAGAAATCAATGGGCGTATCGGCGGCGACACGGCCCACGTGCCTTGTGACATCGAAATTGCCCGCCACCAGCCGCTGGGCGTGGCGCTGCGCGCTTCTCACCGGGAACGGGCGGTTGCCTTTGAAGTCGCCGCCACAGCCGCGGCTGAGCGCCTGCCACGCGTCGTCCACGCTCCACGCCTTAAAGCCGTTGGATTCCACCTCACGATCGGACCACTCCTTCGTGTAGGTGTAGGTCTTCGTCTCGATCACCTTGTCGCCCTGCTTCCGTTTATGAGTCTCGACCTCTTCCTCGCGAGGCCTCCCAGGTGGGGCCAAAACAGATGTGGTCGGAAGGTCGCACCACCGCATCGTCGATGCATCGGCACTGCACCGTCAACGTTGGTACGGAGAAAATGGGGCTCTGGATGGTGCCGCTTTGGTGATGCATCGGCAATTCTGCGCGATCCTCCGACCCCTTCTTCTCCAGCCCACTCTGGGAGGTCTGGATCCTTGCACTGAAGCATTTCCACCGTCTGCGTCACCCTCACGGCGCTCACTCTGAATGCCTCCGCCGCCCCGTCGATGCCGAAGGATCCTGGCGTCCACTCGGGCAACGACTCCCTGGCCAGAGGGCAGTCGAAGTGGACGAGACTGCCCTTGTTCATCTCCGGCCGTGCATCGCAGTCCACGGCCTCCACAGCTTCCTCGGCTGCTGCAAGCGCTCTCGACGAACAGACGGACGACTGCTCGTTCCAGCCGAGTACCCCCAACATCGAGACGAAGATCCCCATGCCGAAGAGGCTCGTGCAACACGCGCCGCAAATACCGCTGCCGCTGTCTGCTTGCCGCACGTGGACCTCCGAATATGTTGTCATGCTGAACACGTGGCGATTGGCCCAGGCTCAGCGCACGAACACTTCAAATTCCAGTCTCGGTGTCTCCACGGGGCAACTGGACCTATTCCTGACCAGCGCACCGACACTTGATCCAAGCCTCAACCAAACGAGCTAACTACGAATGATAATGCTGGCAATCACGTCGCAGTAACATCCACCCTGTAGTTTGATAGGACGTTCCCAATTGTCGCCTCACTTTCTGCGTCGTGGCTTTGATTGCGACTCGGGCCACAATGTGGGCCACGAGCGGTGTTTGGAAACAACGTCGATGATGCTTTCAAGGCGGGGGAAGTTGAGCGAATGTTAACGCTTTCAAGGCGGGAGAAGTTTGTGCAGCATGTTCTAATGCTCGCGCGCCTGATCTGTAATTCTAGCCAGACAGACCTCTTCGAAATAACCGCTCCAGTGGGCACTCGATGGTACTGGAGCTCCGGGCCCATGAATCAACTCGAGAATAAGCCCTGCGGGCGCTATTGCAGCCTTCGTCCTTTCGGGGAAGCATGCGAGCTGGAACTCCATGGTGCTGTATCCACCTGCCTGCGACGTCGCTCCACTGTATGCAGATGGGCCACGCACAATGAGAGCAATAACCGCCCAATGCAAGCACTGCTAGGGGAATGCGCATACATTAGCCAGAGATGGTCGGAGCTCGTGGCAAAAAAAAATGTGCGAGCGGCCTCTCGGAACTACTCATGGGAGACAGTCGGGGCCAGCCGGGGCCAGAGGCAGACAACGGACTTCCAACAGACCCAAGTCGCCACCACCTGGCGATTAATCGGGTATTGCGGCGGCCAACGAACCCCCTGAAAACCAAAGCTAAACGACAGACCTGGGCCAGTCGAGGCTGCGTAATGGTAGCCAAATGGTAGCCAACGGGCCAACGGGCTCACAAACAAACCGAACTGAACGGTGTGCTGGGATACGTGCTAAGGTGTGGTCTGGGTGCGTGCTGCCCCGGTGTGCTTTGCCTGCCCCCCGCACCCCTCCACCCCGTGGCCCGACCGGCCGTGCCCCCCCCTGTCCGCCCCGTGGCCCCCGTCTGCAAATTCCGACCGACCGAACGACCGTGCCCCCGCCTCCGCCCCGTAGCCCCCGTCTGCTTACTCCGACCGACAGACCGACTGTGCCCCCCTCTGCCAGACCGTGCCCTCCCGTCCCCCTGATCCCCTGCGCCCCTTCGCCCCGTGGCCCCCGTCTGCAAATTCCGACCGACCGACCGTGCCCCCCCCCCGCACCTTGGCCCCCGTGTGCTTATTCCGACCGACCGACCGACCTGCCCCCCCCCCCCCCCCCACCCCCCCCTTTGCCCGACCGTGCCCTCCCGTCCCCCTGCTCCCCCCCGCGCCCCTCCGCCCCGTGGACCCCGTCTGCTTATTCCGACCGGCCGACCGATTGTGTCCCCCCTCCGCCCCATGGCTCCCGTCTGCTTATTCCGACCGACCGACCGACCGACCGTGCCCCCCCCCCTCCCCCCTCCGCTCCGTGGTGACCCCCGTTTGCCTATTCCGACGGACCGACCGACTGACCGACCGTGCCCCCCCCTGCCCGATCGTGCATCCCTGCCCCCTCTGCTCCCCTCCGCCCTGTGTCCCCCGTCTGCTGATTCCGACCGACCGACCGACTGACAGTGCCTCTCCCCTCCGCCCCGTGGCACCCGTGCGCTTCCTCCGACCGGACCGGCCGTGCCTCCCCCATCCGCCCCGTGGCCCCCGCCGACCGACCGTGCCCCCCCCCTCTCCCCGGCCGCCCCCCTGTCCCGCCCTTTCCGCCCCGTGGCCCCCACGGTTGCTTATTCCGACCGACCGACCGTGCCCCCCCCGCTCTGGCCGTGCCCCTGGCCCCCCCCCCCGAGTCCCCACGATGGGCCAAACAAAAACCCTGGATAGCTTAAGATTGCCCCGAGGCAGCCCAAAAGAGCACAATGGCCCCGAAGTGTCAGAGAGACGCCACTAGCTCACCGTGACACAACAAGTTCTTCAGGTCATAGCTCAGCGTGTCGCAGCACTCGCGCGTTTCCCGTTGGCGCCACCTCCATCTCCCAGTGTCCCACACCCGTCCGTGATTGTGTGATCCTTGGCGCGCGTGCATTTCGTATGATTTTGCCAGTATGAATCGTATGGCCAAACTGCGGCGACGGCGAGGGCGAGAGCGTCGGCGACGACAACGCCAGCGGCGACAACGACGTCGATGGCGATGGTGGCGACGTCGGGAATGTTGACGGGGCCGGCGAAGCCGCCGACGACGACGAAGACGACGATGGCGACGGCGAGGGTGGCGATGGCGGCAGCGTCGGCGACAACGCCAGCGCTACCGAAGGCGGTGGCGCCGCCGACGACGACGACGACGACGATGATGACGACGGCGATGGCGACGGCGGTGGTGACGGCGAAGGCGCCCACGCCGACGACGAGGGCGGTGGCGACGACCACGGCGGGGACGGTGACGGCGGCCACGGTGGCAGCGGTGACGGTGACGACCACGGAGGCGACAGCGATGTCACACCCCTGTTTTCTGCTCGAACAGCTGGAAGGCTCGCGCTGGAGAAAAAATCGGTGCTGGAGCGCAGGCCGTGTCAAAACTACAATGCTGGAGCGCACCCTTGCTTTCGGTGTGGGCTGCTGGAGCGCTCGCGCTCGGAAACAATCCAGTGCTGGAGCGCACCCTCGTTTTCGCCTCCCTCCTTCTTCCTTCCTCACCCTCCTCGCCCCTCCTTGTCCTCCCTTGCTCAGAGGGCAATTCCGGTGAGTGAGCGACGAATGCTGCAATGGCCACTCAAAATGTGTAGACTGCAGAATCTGGGAGGCAACGGACGACTTTGTGGATCGACAGGTGTCTGGCGCAACCTACGGCACATCTACGCGCAACGTATGCCGAAATTGTACGCTCACTGCAGTAGATGCCCGATTTGGTTGATTGCGGGTGCCTGGCGCATCCTGTGAAACGTCGCCTATAGCGCAACTGTACATCCACAGAGACAACAGACGATTTGGTTGCTTGCGGCTTGTCTGGCGCAACGTATGGCACAAACTATAAAATAATCAGAGTGAGGGGGCCGAACGGTCATTCATTGTCCCTGCGTCCGAGGCTGGATGAAGAACTCGTGGTGAGAATTCTGCTTGCTGTGTTGTTATTGTTGTTTGTTGTCGTCGTCCCACCCGCGACCCACCCGCGACCAGCCCGCGACCCACCCGCGACATACCCACATTGGCTTCACGAAAAAATCGTCGCCTGCGGCGGGCTCGTTGTATAAGTTGTGAAACGTTGGCGCCTGCGGCGGGCTTCTCCATAATCTCGCAAACTGCCGACGCCCCCACCGCCCCCTCACTCTCATCCGCATCTGCGGGGTGCTACGCGTATGTGTGACACCCAGTCAGGAAACGGAATATTTGGCGGTTCGCGGGTTGTCTGACGGACCTATAGCGCAACCCATGGCGCGATTCAATGACAGAATGAATGGGGTACACCCAATGAGGCACCGGCCGATTTTGTGGATCGCGGGCTGTGGGAATCTGACAGTCGGGGTAACCACACTGAGGCAATGGACGATTCGGTGAATCCTGGATTGCTTGGCGCAGCCTGTGGCGCAACCTCAAGCACCCCCGCTGGAGCAACGAACGATCTGGTTGCCAGTGGTGTCAGGTACAGCCTATGGCGCAACCTATGAGGCAACGGACGCTTTGGTTGCCAAGGGGTGCGATACAATGCACAAGGTATTGCAGACGATGTTTAGGATCTCTGGGCGGGGTCAAACAATGTGTGTTCCCGACTTCATGTCTGCTGGTGTATATATATATATATGTGTGTGTGCATGTGTGCGTGTGTGTGTGGTGTGTGTGTGTGTGTGCGTGTGTGTGTGTGAGTGTGTGTGTGTGTCTGGGTGTGCTGTAATCGCAAGGTCCCCAGCGTCAAGAAGCAATTAGGACGGCCTGCATATCTGCGTGTGGGCTTGCGGAAGCCCTGTCCAGGTTCTGGAGCCAACAAAAAAGACCCACGGGCCGAAATCTATGCGAATGTTCGGAAAGAGCCAGATATCAGAGGTCTGAGATCCTTCCTTCTGGCGTCGCGTCCGATACTGATTTGGAGGTTTAGCGTCCTAGATGAGAACAACACTGCCCTCTGAGGTGATTTCCGCCAACAGCGGCCAGGACGTGTCAGACACTGGTCAGGGCAGCTCGCGACTCCGCCTGGCGGCTTGAAAACACAGTGTCACAGCGGTTGGGGTGAGAGGAGGGGTGGTCGCGAAGCCCATGGGAACACATTGAGGGTCAAGAGATGGTCGACAGGGGGAGGAAGCCGATGGATGCTGAAGACGAAGTGGGGTGGCAGAATGCAGGAAGGGGGCATGTGGGACATAGCAGGCGTAGATAGGGACTCACTGATAGGGAATCGATTCCACGATCAATGTGAACATGGGTCGTTGCTGGATCCCCCCTGGAGATCAGATGAAGGGCCAATCCAATCAGACGGATGGTCAACTAGCCGCCTTCCAGAGACATCCAGTTCAGATCCTCTCCTGGAGCGTTCCAAACAAAATCCCCACCTCTCGCCACCGAAAAAGCAATATAGTTGCATCCTTCGTCGACGGCTTGCCGCTTTCGTCACAGTTTGCCGCCGAGAGCCCTTTGTCGAGCGTCGACGCCGACCCAGGAGCATCCTGCAAAGGCGACGACAACAGCGAAGATAGCGGCAACGACACAAGCGCGTCACCGTAAGGTACAGTGCGACACAGCCACCCACGAGGGCAGTGACAACTGCTGCATGGAGCATCATGTGCGTCCACGAATTTGACAATCGACTCTCCGTTCGGCGACTGCCAGTACAGAAAGAACCTGTGCGCTTTGACACTCCATTTATGCAGGACGCCACGCTTGCAGCGTGGGCCTACGGCCCGTCACGTGCTAAAAGGGCATGCCATTCGTAAATGCGCATTGAGAAGCCCGGCGCTCCGAATCTCCTCCGTGGGAGGAAGGCGACAACAG